TAGTTTCTTAATCTCCACGGTGACTTGCACTTGTGAAGAGAGTAATTATAATTTACCCATTGTACGATTGTATTTCCATGTTTCTTAATCTCCACTGCGACCTATACACGTTTACTGTCTTTTGTGTGGCTAATTTTTTCACAATCAATTAATAAGAGGTTCTAATTGTGGGTATTAGGTGTCATTGAAACTGCAAAAAGCTTTGGTAACCTCTCACATTAAATTTGAAATTTTGAAACAGTAGCTAATTTTTTTAATATTATTTTTTATTCAACATGGAAATGGGTACTTTGTATGCTGTGGGTGCTAGTGAATCAAATTGTGTATTTTCCATATTTGTGTGGTATTCCAATTTATATGTGTATAAACATATAGTGTGTGTTGAGTGTAAATAGAATATACAATATTCCCACTCTGTGCGGTGGTAATATTTTGTGGTAATATTTATGCTATGTTTTTGTTGTTCACTTAATTATTCTTTGTTGTTATCTTGATTTTGTGAAATTTTTATTACATTAAGTTAATGGCGAACAACAATGAACAACAATTAGTCGTCTTAGCGGCGTACGAGGCAGTTGAGCAATATGGATCGTTGTCCACTATGCTAACCCGTTCGGGGTTTTGTTGGAATCACGCGGCAAATACCATCGACGTCATTGATGACCAAGTTTGGAACGATTACGTGAAGGTAACACTTTAATATCAAATTAAGTTACTGTACAACTACTTGCATGCTTACTTACATTCAACTAAATCGCTTTTATTTTTTTTAATAGTCCGATCCAAATGCTCGCTTGATGCGTTTCAAGTCATGGCCGTACTATAGTGATTGGACTATTATATTTGGAAAAGATCGGGCAACCGGTGAGAGTGCCGAAGCACTCTTCGATGCGGTTAACGACTTGACAAAACAAGACAAGCCCGCAAGTGATGGCCATGTTTTTTTTCAACATGTATTTCGTAGAGAAGAATTGGTCATGTTTTTTTTCAATCACGTTTTGAGCCATAGCTAGTGATTCTTTGTTGTCTTTTCCAACAACAAAATTGCCTACACGTGCTTCATAAGCCAACACTTGAATGAAAGAGTTATCGATTTTGTCATCCCAATTTAGGTCGTAAAGAAAATCTTCTTGACGAAACCGGATGGTTTTTTTTGGTGCCATTGCAAGAGTTGGTGAGTCTATTGTTATGTTCCTGTGTGTTATATAGTGGAAGTATGTAGTTGTTTTGAATGCAACTTTTCAATGTTGTTAATCATCCATCTGTTGAAAATTTGGGCAATGGCGTGGGAATATTGCAGATTTTGAAAGAAGACAATATTCTCTACATTATTGGAAGACAAAGTATGGAAAATTTTGGAAACATCAAGAAAAGGTGATGTGTTCGATGGATGTATGAGGTAGAGAATATTTTTAAAGTTTGCATTTCTACTGTTTTTCCCAACAGTCGACAGTAAAAATCATGGGTTGGATCGTTTTTCCGGCACAAATCGCGGTCTTACCCCCCTTTTCGGACAACTCACAAAACGGCGACCGGGATTAGCCGTAGTCCACGAAGTTTGGACAACAACTTCCAACCCACAACTGCATACGAATGGGTGAGTATGGCCGTTCAACTCATCACAGAAAAAATGGCGCCCTGTCCGTTGCCGACATGTCGACGAACTGCTGTTGCTGCTCATGTGGCCTTCAAACTTTTTTATTGAATTTCAAAAAAAAATTTTAGAATAGAGCAGTACAAGATAGAGGAAGAAGAGAATCCCTATTTTTTTCTAATTTTTGGAGCAGAGAAGACCGTGTATATGAGGAGGATGAATTCAATAAATAGAATTTTTGAGGGCTAAAAATGTCATTCACCGCCATTTACCAGTCAATCCAACGTACCTAACGGCAGAATGATTCACTCGGATGCTATCCGTAGCTACGAATCTGTGAAACCTAATATGAGATAAAGACACAATTTCATATATCCCAACAGTGTTTATTGGGGATGGATGTGGGATCCCATCCGATCCCAACCAACGAAGCAAAATAGCCCTCAATGTTCATTTCATTTTTTTCTACCACCATTCGATTACAAAGTGCACAATATTCGAATTATACAGTATTACATTTTTTGTTTATCATTTCTTATAAATTATTATACGTATATATGCATAGTTTTATATTCATAATTAATTTTATATATACATAAATATGTTGAAGTCAATACTGATACTAAAAATATGTCGTCAGAATTATTTTAAATATGTGCATTTCTCTTCTTTTATTTTGTGTTGGTATTATATATTTATGTATTCATAATTGTTTTATATATTTCAACTTCATTTTATATTTGTATTTAGTTAAATAATAACATGTCATATGCTTTATGTATTTCTTGCAGATTATTTTCACGAATCCAACTTCGACCATACATAATTCATCAACACGGTTTGCTTACATTTTTTCTTTAAAATTATTTATTTTATTACTCAATATTTTCTTATGATATGTATATTTTATAATGTAGTTTTCTGTAGTTTGTTTTGATTTTTTTTTATTTACATATTTGCATTATTAACACAATTGGATATATTATTTTATTTTTTTGGTTATGCAGAAGTGAGAAAAATGGGATCCAAGGGAAGTTTTACTGCAAAATTATTATAGTGAAATTGTGGTAGTTTTAGTACTAGGCTTATCTTCCCTTCTTTGTAATAGGTTACAAAATATGTGAAACTATTTGTCGCACTAATTATTGATAGTAAATAGTTTTAAGATGATATATTATTGCAAGCAATTAATAAAAGTCTTTCGCATATACATTATGTTGTTTGTCTACTAATTCAATTTAAAAGAATCTATTACATTAAATACCATATTATAAAATTTATTTTGTATCCTTATTCACTTGATACTGTTTCAATGAGAATTACGATTTTCTTACATTCTCTCGACATTCAATCATCGTCTACTTTCTTTTTCTTTTATTTTTGTCATGTTTGGTGTATTATTAATTCATAATCTTTGTTTCGTGTAAAATCTTTGTTTGATCTATCTTATTTTTTAGTTATTTGTTTCGTTTTGCAAATATAGATAACGTTTTGACACACAAATGGGTATTGTGCACATATTTTAATCTATGTGAATAAATTATATATGAATAATTTATAAATTTTATATTTTTTTATTATTACATTATTATGTTTTATAAGTATAAAATTATTCTTTATATTAATTTGAAAGATATAATTTGCATAATGACCGGATTTGTTTTACCAACTAAAATAAATGATTGATTTAGATTTTTAGTTTTTAATTGGTTATATTAACGATAATATTATAATTAATGATTCAATTAACTAAATCTCATTAATAGTTATTGAAAATTATAATAATGGAAAAATGAAAGTGAATGATTAATGTTTGATTTGGATAGTATAATTTTACAGAATTACACAATGTTTTTAATCCACAAATTCCGTCTTTTGTTATTTGTAAATAGTAATACAAACATGTGTTTTTTTAAGGGGAATCTATATAATATATGAAGACAAAAGCCACAATTAAGGATTGTCATTTCTAATTTTTACCCCACAATTTTCATTTAATTTTCACTTGGCATCATAATTTCTTTTAATTACTACGTAGTACGTATATACCTTTTTGTCCAAGTTTTCATTTTATATATGCAGTTTCTTTAAATATATGTATATCCACGTATACGCTATACCTAAATCAATAAATAAATTATTTTCTATTTCATTTTAACATTTTAATTTATGACTCAAAAAAGAAAGTTTTCAAAAAAATTTATCTATACACATAATTGATTCCTATAACTAATAACCAAAAAATCGCTTTCTATAGCCAATAATTTATAACCGGTTTTTAAAATTAAGAATTTAAATTATTATGTTAATAACCAACATTTCCAATATAATATACCAATCACGATTTTCGATTATTTTTTTACTACAATCAATCATCAATCAGTCCATAAATTTGAGCTATTAATTCCCTAATCTATATATAATATAAAAAGAGGATCTATGCCCTCAATGATTGAAATGTGTCAAATGATGATGTCATTTATCAAAATTGCTTAGTTGGAGTTCAATTGATGAGGT